AGTTCTCTGCTGACATAGTGTTCCAAACGTTTTTGGATAATTTTCAGCAGAATCTTGCTTGCATGTGATATCAATGATATTGTTTGATAATTTCCACACTCTGCTGAGTCACCTTTCTTTGGAATGGGAACAAATTATCGATTTCTTCTAGTCAGTTGACCAGCTGGCTGTCCTCAAGATTTCCTGGCACAACTTAGCACATCCAGGGCAGCATCTGTGTGTTGAGATAAATCAACTGGTATGCTGTCAACTCCTGGAGCCTTGGTTTTTGCCAATTCCTTTAGAGCAACTTGAACTTTCTCCTTTATCACCATAGGCTCTTGCTCATCTGTTATTTCATGAAATTCCTCTGTGTCAGCCAATTCCTTCTGATACAGTGACTCTGTGTACTCCTTCCATCTTCTCTTGATACTTCCTGGATCATTAATACAATTAAAAATTTTTCTTTGGGACAGTTATAAAGCATGATAGAGTATATATATTGTTTCCCCAGTAATTTATAAATTCTCTGGACACTTAAAAAACCTCAGATACATATATTTAAGAGCTGAGGTACAAGACAAAATGAGCCATTACAATAAAAAGTTCACTTACTTGTTTGAATATTTCCTCAGAATGTTCAAAAGTACAGTGTTTATGGTATGCCATAAAAAAAGAAAGTGACATTCCATCAAAATAGAGATGAACAGACAACTTCCCCCATGGATTTTCGGGTAATTTCTACAGGTTCAAATGAGAAGAATATTATCATAAAAATGTAGTGTATTGACTAAATTTTAATCTTAGCAAATACGAGAGCTGACTTCTGATAACTGCAGTACTATCTCAGTTTGACTAGTGACCCAATTAATAAAATTGTCTTGCTGATATTTTTGTACTTCATGAGAATCATTCCACTGTTTGGTTTTATAAAGTATACTTACATATCCATAAGGTATGGCTATTTCTAGTTATTTACTTTCACACATCTTTAAATATTATTAACAATTTATATTAAATAGGAAAAAGAAAAGGTATACTTACAAGTGAAGAAATGAAAGTAAATGAATTTAAATTTGAATTTAAACGTAAAATGGATTTTAAAAATTGTTGTTTACAAGAAAATTAACAAATCTAAAAGCAGCAGTCATATAAAAGACAATGGCTTTAAATTCTTGGTAAAATCCATTCTGAACTACTAGAAATTAGCCTGGTAAGTTAACCAATTTTCTCCATTTCTACTGTTGCTGGATGCCCTAGGTGGGCTATGACTCACAGCAACCCCAAGAACAAGGGATCTGAGCCTTGCAGTATCCTGCTGTGCCATCCTCAACATCTGATCCACTGCAGCCCAATGTTACAGTCCCTGTGTCAATCTATGTTATTGAGGGTCTTCTGAAAACCCACTGGAGCGGCAGCTACGAGTCACCTCTGACTTGACAGCACATAAGCACCACCACCACCTTCTGCACTCTGAAACTGACTCAGCATGCAGTCCAACTGCAGTGATAATTACGGTATCAAACGTGAACGTAAACGCAGGAAATGCAGAAGATAAATCCATCGGGAAGCACAGCTTTAGTGATCAACAGCTGCTGGACAGGATTTTGTATGACCCATGACCTGTCCACTGAAAATATCTTTTTTAAAAAAACAAATCGTGACTACACAGATAGATCTGATGTCTTTTTTAAAATAAAATTTTATTTTAATTGTGGTTTTAACAAGTTTATAGAGAAGTCAGATTTTCATTCCTTGACTGCTGCACATTTTACCCTCTCTCTCTTTCCTCTCCCCCAGTTCACTTTCAAAATTTACTGTTGTACAATTTTAATTATGGTGTTGGTAAAGGGCATTGATTATACTTTGGACAGCTAAAAGAACAAACAAATCTGTATTGGAGAAAATGCAGCCAATATAAAACTATGTTAAAACTATATATAAAGGAGGAAAAGTCCTATGAACTTAAGGACTCTTAAGAAGAACGGAACTCTTTATGTTCAGGAACAATTTATATTCCTTTAAGATTATATATAAAACTGATCGCTAAAATAATTCTCATATGTTTATTATAATGTAACACTATATAGTAAGTAATTGAAACCAAGTATACATGTTTTAAATGTAAGTTACCATAACATGAATTTCCACCTCTCTCTTTGAAAGTAGTTCCTGAAGAAGTCCTATTGCATCTGGTTGCCAGACATTCCCGACCTATTTGGGATGAATAAATTCTGGTTCTTTTACTCTTTCACAAAAGAAATATGGAGTAAGGAGCAAATGAAGGTACATGAGAGTTGCTGTAACACCAGACAGTGCCAGATTATACACAAGCAGTTTTCAGAGTGTGCCCAGGTTTTACAATAAAAACCTTAAATTAATAACTAAGCTTCCTCTATGCTATACATTTAAAACTTTGTATGTGTAAAAAAACCCAGCATTAAAAATAGATCCCCAACTCATATTGAGTGTGCTAGAATAATATTCCATAGAGTTTTTAATGGTTCCAAGGTGTCTCTATAGTGTCTTGAACTGCTAACCTTTCAATTAACACTTGAGCACATTTTCAGCAGTCAAGACTGCAATGAATTAGTGTAGTATCATATTAATTTCTGTATCAATAAATATTTCTCTGTATAAAAACCAACATATTTGAAACTAAAAAAAGGGATCAATACTGCAATGTGATGCTTACACAAGCCTATAAAATGTATTTAATAAGAAGGAATCAATGTTATCTGTTGTGTGTGAAGAGATCCACTTGGCAAAGAACTAAGGCCAACAGTCATGTGAATGAGCCTCTGGGTAGGGGCCCCCTGCATCTCGTCTTTAGAGAATGAGCCTGCTCGTAGGGGCTCCCTGCATCTCTAGTCCATTCTTTAGATGATTACAGTAAATCATCCAAGACTCTGAGTGAGAACTGCCCAGCCAGGCCACTCTCAATCTCTGAGACACGGAAACCGTACCGTAAGCGTTTACTGTTGCTTTGGAGCATACATTTTGGGGGGGAATCTGATATACAGAAAGAGGTAACAAAATTCTGCCTCTTCATCAGATTTCCATTGTTAAATTTACTGTAATTTTGTATGATACAGGATTATATAAACACTTAACATTTTTAAATCTATGAACATTTTTTTTATTCCATATCCTACGGCATAATTTTGTAATTTCTTCATATAGGTCTTATATCTTTCCTTCAATTTATTTCTAGCTATATTTTTTGTGACAACAGAGATTTTACTTTACTTCTGAATTCACAGAAATCATTCTTAAATTATTTTAAATTAATCATCCCACAAATTGAGTATTTACTCACAGGTGTCGTGTTATAGAGCTGACATGGAATACAAAACTGAGGCTTATCAGGATACAGCAAAATAGGGTAAAGATGACATTGTGGAATCTTCTCAGTGAATCCATGATCTAAATATTTTACCTGAAATAAACCAAATAAAATGTATAATACATTACAGAAAGGACTCCAGGTGGTGGCAGTGGTGGGAGAAGCCATCCAAGAAAGAAAACACAATCTAAGCATTAAAACCTTCTGGACAGAGTGACACCACACCAGTGAACCAAGCCCATTGCCAATTTTTTTACCAGATAATCAATAAATCAGCACTTGTTTTATGACAGTGTTCTTGTCAGCTGTTACTAACGTGACTATGATTCTTATTCATAAAATAGATTTTATCAGATACATATATCCTGAGAATAACTCTTTTCTGAAACACTTCAATTTTGATAATTAATTTCTAAATTGTACTAATAAGAAATCATGTCAATAAACTGTTTCACCCCAACAAAATTACCCTATCACTATTGGGCTGGCTGAGCAATTGGGTTTTTTTCTCCTAGTTGTGCACTGTAGAGTCAGGCATGACTGGCACATGAGGAGCCTGCCCCTCCTTCGACAGGGGAACACGGGCTTGATTCCAACTGTGCAATTAGCTTTTAAAAACAAAAGAACTGATTAAAAACTTCAGAGTGTATCAAAGGTGGTTAGAATGACAACACTTTAATGGAAAGCTTCTTTCAGTTATGTATTTATATAAACAGGCTTACTGGGTTACAAGAACAGGATTTCTTTCCTGAAATGTTCGAGAAGACTACTGAGTATTCTATGGGGGAGGCCAGCAAAAGAGAGGAAGACCTGTAAAATTAATACCATTCTCCTTCTAATTAATGCTTTGTCCAACAGAAGAAGTCTAATTCTTACTGAGAAATCAGATGCCTGAATACGAAGAACTCCAGAATCAACACTCACTAATTAAGTGGCTCTTGGCAGGTCACTCAATTAAAATTTTCTTGTTAGCAAAATGGAATGATAATACTTTTGTGTGTGTGCATGTATTGTCAAATCAGATCTGACTGGTACAGGAGGAGATTGCCCCTCCTTCTCCAGCAGAGCATCTGGTGGATTTGAACCGTGCGCAGAGTGTCAAGGACTGCAGCCTACAATATGGATTGAGGCTCAATGTCAAGAAGACAAAGATTCTCACCACTGGACCAATCGGCAGCATCAGGATGGATGGTGAAGAGATTGAGATTGTACATAGCTTTAGTTTGCTTGGCTCCATAGTCAACAGTCCTGGCACCAGCAGCCAGGAAATTAAAAGGTGCATTGCCATGGGAAAGTCTGTTGTTAGGGACCTCTCCAAAGTACTGAAGAGCAATGGTGTCTCTCTGGAGACTAAGGTGCGTCTGATACAGGCCATGGTCTTCGCAATCACTTGTTATGCATCAGAGAGTTGGACAATGACCAAGGAGGATAGAAGGAGAATTGATGCCTTTGAGCTATGGTGCTGGAGAAGAGTATTGAGAATACCATGGACTGCTAGGAAAACAAACAGATTTGTCCTGGAAAGGGTTAAACCGGGTGGCTCCTTGGAGGCAAGGATTCTGAGGCTCCGTCTAACATACTTTGGACATGTTGTGAGGAGAGACCGGTCCTTAGGGAGGGACATCATGCTTGGGAGGGTGGAGGGACAGCGGAGAGAAAGGCCCTGTATGAGGTGGATTGATTCAGTGACTGGGATAATTGGGATGGGAGTGTCAGAGACAGTGCGATTGGCACAGGACAGAGCGGAGTTTAGGGCTGTTGTACACAGGGTCACTATGAGTCACAAGCGACTCGACGGCACACAGCAACACCACCACCACCACCACCCCTGGTATTGTAGTGCAGTTTCTTGCCACTAGGCCACCAGAGCTCCCTGATAATTACTTTTATGAGTGTAAAATCATTTATAAGTCTAAATATAAATGCATGAATGTGAAAAAAACATACAAATCTAAAGCACTAGAGAATCGTTAGATTTCATCATCGAAAAGAAATGCCTGTCCATGTAGAAACAAAAGACTACCCATTAATTATTTCTCCTTTTTAATGAAATGTTTCAAGTGCTAAATGTCTGATAAAGTTCTTTTTAAAATTTTATTACTTTCCATGATGAATACATTATAAATGAAAGTATTTTCATCTACGTTTTTTAGATACTTATTTTCTAAATCTATACAGCTTCTTCTAAATATTAGAGTTAAGCAGTTCTGGTGGGCAACCAGGTAAGAAGCCACACTGGCAGCCAGAATCCACCAGGTGCTCTGATAGAGGAAGATGGACAATATCCTCGTGTGTGATTTACAGCCTTTGAGAATCCTTTGTAGGCTCAGCTAAGAGTGGGTTCCTACTCCACAGCAGGAAGCTGAGAGCTGAATCGCTCATTATGTGGGAAAACAATAAAAACAACAACAACAAAACACCAAAAAAACCTCTTTCCTGAAAAGGATTAAATGAATTACCAAATTTCCTATAGAAATTTTTCACAGAAAACAAGTGCTTTTGTGTACGTAGATGTTTAAGTACGACTCACAGACAGCTGACCTGAACTGTGCCCTATCCTGTGCCATCCTCATCAGCTCTCACACTTGAGCCCACTGATGAAATCACTGTGCCAATCCATCCTGGTGGGGGTTGTCTTTTCCTTTGCTGACCCTCCACCTTTCCAATCATGATGTCTTTTTCCAAGAAATTAGTCTCACCTAGTTTTATGTCCAAAGTATGAAAGATGAAGCTGTACTATCTTTGCCTCCAAGGAGCACTCTGGTTTCACCTTCTCTAAGACATCTGTTTGTTCTTCTAGCAGTCTGTGAGATATTTAGCATTCTTCTCCAAAACAACCCAAAGGTATCAATTCTTCTGTCATCCTTACTCACTGTCCTGTTCTCTGATGCACCGCAGCTGACTGAGATGATCACGGCCTGAATCAGGTGCCCCTTAGTCTTCAAGCTGAAATCATTACTCTTCAGCAATAACAGCAGATTTGCCTAATCTAATACATCTCCTGCTTTCTTAACTACTGGTACCAAGGGTGTTAACTATTGATCCAAACAAGATGAAACTACTGACAGCTTCCTTTCTCCATCTATCACAATATTGACTGTTGCTACTGTGGTGAAGATTTTTGTTTTCTTGACATTGAAATAAAATAGGGATAATAATTTAATTAATACGTCATTAGCTGTTGTTGTTATGTGCCATCGAGTTGCATGCAACTCAGAGTGACCCTACATATAATAGCTGTAAATCCTGCTCGATCCTGTGCTAACCTTATTGTCTCCGATACACCTACCCCCATTTCCCCAGTCACTGAATCAATCCATCTCATTGAGGGTTTTTCCCTCCACCCTCCTAAGCATGACGTCCCTCTTCAAGGACTGATCCCGCCTTGCAACATGTCCAAAGTATGTCAGACAAAGCTTCAGAATCCTTGCCTCCAAGGCGCAGCCTGCTACACACCTTCTCCACGATGAACTTGTTTGTCCTCTTAGCAGTCCAGGGTATATTCAATACTCTTCTCCAGAACCACAGCTCAAAGGCAACAGTTCTTTTATCATCCCTAGTCATTGTCCAGTTTTCTGATGAATAGCAAGTGACTGCAAAGACCATGGCCTGAATCAGGCACACCTTGGTCTCTGGACTGAAATCATTGCTCTTCAGTACTTTGGAGAGGTCTCTGACAGCAGACTTTCCCAATATAATTCCTTTTTTAAAATTTCTTGGCTGCTGGTACCAAGAGTGTTGACTGTAGAGCCAAGCAAACGGAAGATGTCAACAATCTCAATCTCTTCATCATCCATCATGATGCTGCTAACTGTCCCAGTGGTGAGAATCTTTGTCTTTTTGACATTGAGCCTCAATCCTTGACTTTCTACAGCAAGTTCTTCAGGTCCTCCTCATTTTCAGCAAGCAGGGTTGTGTCATCTGCATGACACAGATTACTGCTGACCCTCTAGTAGGTTTTTAGAGGCAGAAAATTACACGAGAGGATATTATCCATCTTTCTCCTGCACAGCAGCTGGTGGATTTGAACCCAAGCTTTTGCCTGGCAGCGTAGCTCCTTACCACAAGGTCACCAGAGCTCCCAAATGCATCTGTTGTTGTTCTGTGCCATCAAGAACTATTTGTTTTCTTGGCGGTCCACGGTATGTATGTTCAAGACTCTTCTCCAGCACCACGACTCTAGCTTATGATTTTTAAATCATTCCTAGGGTTAGCTATAAGTTGCTTCTGACTTAATGGCACATCACAACGAACTACTGATGGTTTAACTACAGTTTTGCATGTTTGCACTCCAACCCATTTAATATTAAAATCGTCAGAGTACCACACTCACCCTGATGGTGCCAGCAACAACTTCCATGACCTGGCCTCGATACCATTTGGTGTCTGATCCTCTTACTGCACAAGCTTCTCCTTTCTTCCAGAAGTAAGGTTCCAAAAGACCAAGGCATTTTAAATTATTTTGAATTTCATTCATCATTTTTACTAGCTCAAGCTCTGAGGGGATAAAAAAAATATAAAGCTTTTAGAAAAAATTCTTTTCTACTTTTTAATATGAAGTCATCATCAGTCTTTAATTCATAACCTATAATACTGAAAGCAATTAAAAATGAGTTCCCATATTTAATCATGAGTCATTCTAATATCAGATTAGCCATCAAAATATGAGGGTCAAAACTGCCTCCAATGGTTAATCTATCAAACCTACCACCATTCAAATAATGTATTGTTTCTTCAATTCTTCCTGACCCCAAATCTCCAGCTGGTGTTTCTCTGGGCTCAGAAATCTGGAAGGTTCTGAGAAGCTCACACAGCTGTTGAAGCTGTGGCCTTCACAGATAAGTCAGGAAAAAGGCCAAAGAAATTTGGATGCAAACTTCTTCTATTGGATTGCCGGGGTGCAGACCATGCCCCCAGGGGACATAAAGGGCATGCCTTTTTAGCAAGGCACGGGAAACTGAGGGAGCTGAATCAATTTAAAGATAAGGGTCTAGGAAAGGCAACATTTTTTGCTAAGTGCTACTGCAGGTCAAACCCTGGCTTTTCTAGCCACTGTCTTTTACAGCCAAAGGATCAACTTTCCCCTTCTAATCCTCTACATTCATGAAGGTATATATATAAATCAGCTACTTCATGTCTTATGCCTTGTTCTTGAGGTTATGTGCACTGAGTCCATGACGACCCATAGTGACACTATGAACAATGACTCAATCCTGACCTGTCCAGAGCCAACCTCATCATCTCTGATCCACCTAACCCCACTGCCACAGTCACTCTGCCAATCCATCTCATCCAGGGTCTTTCTCCTCTGTGACGACCCTCTATCCTTCCAAGCATGATGATCTCTCCTGGTGACTTGCCCAAAGTATATGAGATGGAGCTTCAAAATCCTTTCTGGCAAGGAGAAAACTGGTTTCATCCTCTCTAGGATAGACCTGTTTGTTCTCTTGACAGTCCATGGTATGTTCAATACTTTTCTCCAGTATCACAAATCAAAGGCATCAATTCTTTCCTATCATTCTTATTCACGATCTAGCTCTCAGAAACAGTAAACAACTGAGAAGACTATGGCTTAGATCCAGTGCACTCTAGTCTCTAGATTGACATCACTGCTCTTTACCAGAGGAGAGACCCCTGACAGCAGATTTTCTCAATTTTGTCACAATTTGTCTTTTAATCTCCTGACTGCTGGTGCCAAATGCTGAATGTAATTCCAAGCAAGATGAAATAATTAACAACTTCAATCATTTCTCCATCTATCATTATACTGCCTATTAGAGGATTAAACCAAGCTACTCCTTGGAGGCAAGGATTCTGGGGCTTTGTCTGACATACTTTGGACATGTTGGCAGGAGGGACGGGTCCTTGGAGAGGGACATCATGCTTGGGAGGGTGGAGGGATGGCGCAGGAGGGGAAGACCCTCTATGAGATGGTGACTGGGGTAATC